TCATGATGGTTTGCTCCTACGTAAATCTAAATATTTCATAAGAGCCTATGTGTGTTCAACTTCATGCTACTACTATGGAGCATGGTTGTTATGAACTGAATATGTCCCCCTAAAATTTATATGTTGGACTTGTAACCCACAGTGTGTTGGTTGTAGGAGATGGAGCTTTAGAGAGATGATTAGACCATGAGGGTAGAACCCTCATAAATGGGATTAGTACCCTTAAAGACAGAACCCCAGAGAGCTCTCTGCTTCCTGTCATGTGAGGACAGAGAGAAAATGACCATCTGTGAACCAGAAACCAGCCTTCACCAGACACTGAATCTGCCAGCACCTTGGTCTTGGACTTCCAACCTCCAGAGCTGGGAGAAATGAATGGTTTTGTTTAAGCCACTTTGTCTATGGTACTTTTGTATTGTCCATTGGCAGCACAAATGGACTAGGATGAAGGAGATGGCAGTGGGGAAAGAAAGAAGGAATAAAAGCTTTCTGGTAAAGTTAGTAGAGGAAAAACCCACAGTGGAAGTCTTCACCTATCACCCAAGCAAAAGGCACTAAGGGGTCCACAAATGGCCCACTTCTGTTGGCTGAGCCCCTCTGGGTCAGAACCCGGGACCCTCAGCACTGCTAAGGGTATCTATGCCTTGCCCTGACAAAGGCTCATGCAAATAAGAGTTGTCCTTGGGTCTTGCATAACTGTGACATTGTCCCTGGATTCCTTATGTTTAAAAAGGTTGGCCCCCACTGCTCCCAGCAATGCTTATCTCTGAGAAAACTAAAAAAGTATAGACCCAATGAGCACCAGATCTTGAAAAGATACTAGTGTCTTTTCAAGTGAAATTGAGGCATGGAGAGTCAGATAACTCGTCCAGGATCACTTAGTCAGGAAGCAACAGGTTTATCCTTCCAAATCAAGTTTCCTGACTCCTGGCCAAGGTACTCTTTACCCTCTGGCAAGCTCCTCTGTGGAATAAGGACTCAGAAAGTCACCGGACTGGACCCCCAAGGGATGGCCTTAGTCAGTGAAGGCTTATAGGGAAGCTTCCTAAAGGGGTCTTGCTAGTAATGCTTAAATCTAGGAAAGGAAGTAGAGTCCCCTTTGGGAAGGTCAAAGTTCCTGCTAGCTGGAGAAGAGCCACAGACGCTGACCCAAAGAACTAACTTAACCCAATAAAAACAAAATCTTCCCTCCAGTTGAAAGACTTTTCCTAACCCAGGCCCACCACACCAGGTATTCCTCCATGAGATCCAGAGCAGGCCTTTCTTTGAAGTGAGATTAATACCTCAGGGAAATAAAAGTCCATCTGCTCAGAAGGGATCATTTGGAATTGAGGCCCTCTTGTAGAATCTGCTGGCCTTTTAGCTGAAGCAGTTAACACATGCTCTGCTGTCTCTTAGAGGGCTCAGAGATGAAACACAGCCAGCCGCCACACTTCCCAGCACAGCCAAAAACAGTCTGCAGGGGCCCATCTGGAGCAAATCAGTCTCGCTGGAGTGAAAAATAGCAGATGTCGGAGTGTGCCAGCAGCCCCGGGAAACCCCAGCCCTGCTGCCCTCTGCTCTGCCCTCACAAATCATCCTTGCACAGATCGCTCATTTGCACAAGGCAGCCTCTTGGCTCCCGGCTTCCCTGCTGCCCTGGAGGGCCATTTGCGGCTGCAAAACAGGTTTGCAAGCTGGAAAGGAACCCTGGAATCTCCTTAGGGGCCATGATCCAGGAGGCTTCTGGGCTCCAAATCAAAAATATATAGACTCATAGGACGTTTGAGCTCAAATGGACCCTCAGGGTCATTGGGTCCAAACCCACCACTTTACAGATGAGGACGCTGAGGTCCTGACTCTGTAAGTCAGCCCTGAGAAACTGGCAGTGACTGTCACTAAAGCCAGCCTTGGGAAAACTAAGCATTCAGGAGATTTTTCTCTCCCCTAAAGACCTTCTATTACAAGGCAGAGATCAGTATATAGATGGATAGATGGATACAGGAACAGATGGATGAATGGATAAGGTGGACAAATAAATGGAGGATGGATGGATAAATGGATGGATGGATGGATGGATGGATGGATGGATGGAGAAATGGATGGATGGATAGAAAAATGGATTGATGGATAGAAGGACAGATGGATATATAAATGGATTGATGGATGGATGGACGGATGGATGGATGGAGAAATGGATTGATGGATGGATGGATGGATGGATGGAGAAATGGGTTGATGGATGGATGAAGAAATGGATTGATGGATGGATGGAGAAATGGATTGATGGATGGACGGATGGATGGATGGAGAAATGGATTGATGGATGGATGAAGAAATGGATTGATGGATGGATGGAGAAATGGATTGATGGATAGAAGGACAGATGGATATATAAATGGATTGATGGATGGATGGACGGATGGATGGATGGAGAAATGGATGGATGGATGGAGAAATGGATTGATGGATAGAAGGACAGATGGATATATAAATGGATTGATGGATGGATGGACAGATGGATGGATGGAGAAATGGATTGATGGATGGATGGAGAAATGGATTGATGGATGGAGAAATGGATTGATGGATGGATGGAGAAATGGATTGATGGATGAATGGAGAAATGGATTGATGGATGGATGAAGAAATGGATTGACGGATGGATGGAGAAATGGATTGATGGATGGATGGATGGATGGATTGATGGATGGATGGAGAAATTGACTGATGGATGGATGGACAGATGGATGGAAAATGGATGGATGAAAGAGAAGGATTAAGACAGAGATAGTGAGAGGCAGATCACAACATATAAAAGAAAGAAAGGAAGAAGGGAGACATTGAAGAAGGGAGGAAGGGAGAGAAAGACAAACCAGGACATTTACCGTTATACCTTTGGCCCCTGGGGAGTACTGGAGACTCCCTGGTGACCTGTACTGAGGCTCTTTCCATCTTGTCACCCAGGCCAAAGTTGCTACAGGGACTTGTATTGACCTACCCACCTTGGCCACATTCCTGAGCCACCAGTGTCAGGGCCCGGGACCCCTCCCTACAGCTCACCATACCCATGCAAAAAAGAGTTTTTCCTTGCAAGTTCACCAAGTCTTTGGAATCTGCCAGAGCCTGCTTTCCAAATAGACCTACTCTTCCCTGCGTATTCCCTAGATAAATTATGCCAACTTGGCCATGTTTGTGGAGGCTGGGTCCCTCTGAAGTTCTCCAGCTCCTGTCTCCCCTAAAGTAGTTTCCCTCACTGTCGCCATCCCAGAGCATGGCCTATGAGAAGGCACAATCCGATCTTTCTGGTACCCTAGGGCAAGAACCGGGGATACAGAAAGCCCTCTATCCTTGTGATAAGGCAGAGGGTCTAACCGAGCTGATGAACACAACCTGCCTGCGGATGGCCATGCTGAAAGAGCACACTGTAACACACATGCACTGGGGCTTCAGGAGCTGAATCTCCCCTAGGGATAGAACCTTAGACCCCAGCATCTCATCTACATCTGATGATGTCCAATCCCTTCCTGGCTTGCTGGCCTAAGCATCTTAAATGTTACCTGCCTAAGGACACAACTGGTCAGTTTCAGGCAGGTCAAGCCTTGCAGGTGAAATGAAAGGAACAGGAGGAAATTGGCTTATTCGATTAGCCATAGATTGAGTGCTTTTTTTTTTTTTTTTTTACAATTAGGG